AAAAAAAAAAAAGTAAAGAGAACAGAATCTGCAAACTCTAGCCAATAAGCTTGACTTTGAATCCTGAGAAAACTCTAGAGAAAGTGACAAACATCTAGATGGAGAAATGGCAGTTACGGAGAACCACTATGGCTTCATCAAGAACAGATCATTACAGACTAACTTTATTTCCTTCTCTAACAGGATTATTAAACTATAGATGAGGGGAATGCTCTGATTATCATTTCTCTAGATTTCATCGAGGCTTTTGGTAAAATATACTATTCTTATGAAGAAGATAAATTAGGTGATAATATGGTTATGGTGATGATAATATGAATTTAGAGATGGTTGTGTAAACCAGACTCAAATTATAGTTGTTAATGGTTCAATGTTAACATATCAGGATTTCTCCAGTGGAGAACCTAGGGATCTTTGCTGTTTTCTTTGAGAATCAATTGACAGAACTTGGAGTGTTTAGCCTAGGAAGAGAAGGCTTGAGTGAGGGGGCAAGGCATGATAGTTGTGTTCTAGTATGTGAAGGACTGTCGTGTTGGACAGGGATTAGATTTGTTCTCTTTAGCCCAGAGGAAAGAGCCGGGAATATTGGGTGGAAGTTGCAAAGAGGCAAATTTAGGTTTGGTATCGGGAAAAGCCTCTAACAATTAGGGATATCTCCAAGTAGAATGAGCTACCTCACGAGGCTGTGGATTCTTCGTCCTTAGAGTTCTTTGAGTTGAGGCTGGGTGAAATCTATTATGTTGTGGTGGAATCCCATAAAAGGACAGGAGATAACTATTGCCCTCTTAGTGGAAGCTTGGGGTCAAGGGCAAGAGAAATAAAGAGACAGACAGAGAAAGAGAGACAGAGGGATAGAGACAGAGATAGACAGAGGTAGACAAAAAGAGAGACAGAGACAAAAAAAAAGAGAGACATAGAGAGAAGGAGAGAGAGAACCCATGCAATTTTATTAGTGATGTACAAAAGATTATTCAAACCCTAGATTTTTTTCTCTTTATGAACCTGGTATGAAAAGAACAGAGGCAAACCAAGGAAAGCCCATGTAAGACTGGTCACTTTTTCCTGGGGAATCCTTAGAGTGTCTTTCCACATGACTGCCTAGAAAAGTAGCCCAGCCCAAGGTGGGGAGGAAGAATCAGTGTTTCCCATGGACTTCTGTTCAGAGTTGGAGGGCTTTAATCATTTGTGCAGCAGCTTTAGGAAGATTGTGTAGCTAGCTAGTTGTTAACTAGAAGACTCCCCTGTCTCTCTATATAGCAAATGCTTAATAAATGCTTTTTTCATTTATTCATTTTCCTGTTACACAATAAACAAGTTAGAGACTTCTAGTCATATTTCTGGACCAAAGGTACATCACCTCAGAGAACAAAAATAAAAGCTTGGTATTAAATACATGCCACCAGACATATGGAATGTGACTGAGTCTGGCTGACCTTCAGATGGCACCTAAGAATGGGTCAAAATCCAAGAATGGAATTGCGAAGGTCTCAGAAGCCAACGTCCACATGAACCCAAGCAGTGATATGCTGACAAAGTAGTGACAAAGCAATGTCTGAATCTTGTGGATTTGTTTATAGGAGGGCTTATCATAGCAATTTAAGAACAAATAATCTCCACCTTAAAGTACAGAAAGGTTATCTTCAAAGGGCCTGGATTTATTGATCAATTCAGATTATGTGAAGAAAATGATAGCAACTGTGTAACATATCGTAGCATTTAGCAAAAAATTAGCATTAAATTAATACTTAGCAAGGTGCAACCTGGCGGTCAGTATCATGTATTAAAAGGTTTGACTGTATCACCTCCTACTCAGTAAATTCCAGTGGTTCCCATTCACCTCCAGGATCAAACGAAAAATACTTTGTTTGGCATTCAAAACCCTGTACTACGAATACAGATTTCAAAATATCCCAGAGAGTTCAACAAATAAACCATATTGAAACTGGAGCATTATCACAGACAAAATTGTTACACGCAATTTCCCAGTGATAAAACTGATACATAAAAAATTTACGAAGAATAAGAACTAGGATTCAGATAGCACGTTAAGGTTTGCAAAGCAGTTTACAAAAATATCTCATTTTATCCTCACAACAACCCTGGGAGCTGGGAACTCTTATTATCTCCGTCATTTCATTTCTCTGAGCCTTAGACAACTCAAAGACTACAAACTAGAGAAAGATTACGAGCTCCATCAGCGGAGGGAATTCCCATATGGACAAAATCATAGGTTCTTGGCATATTGGTGTTATTTTTCTTTTAAGAAAATAATTTGACATTAGAGATGCATTTGGAGTGGTTTGCCATTTTCTTTTACAATGGATTAAGGCCAACATGCCCAGGGTCATGTCCCTTAACCTCTGTTAGACAAGGACATAAAACGACTTCTCCAGTTCTAAATCTCTGTTTCTGTGAATCTTTTTAAAACTCTTTCAAAATGTAGCTGGAGTCAGTGTGGTATAATCTTTTAGATTTTCAATGTCTACCACAGTGCTTGGCACACAGTAGGCACTTGATGAATGTCTGTTCAATTTAATTTAATGGAGGAAACTAAGGCAGAGAGAGAAGAAATGACTCACTCTTTGTCCATACAATGAGTTTTTGAAAGGGCGGGCATTAGAAACCAGGTGTCCTGAACTTCTGGCACAGTACTATTTCTATTATGCCATGCTCACTATCCAACAGGATGAACTAGCTATGACTTTAACATTCTAAATATTAATTTGTCTTTTTTTGTTGTTTGTTTATTGTTCACTTAAAACTCCTAGGGGCTTTTTAAACGAAGTCATTGCTCAAGGAGGCCTTGATAGCCTTTACCAGCGCCTCATGAGAGGAGAGATCACATTTTCACAGGTAAGACTTCCCTGGGATAAATACTCAATAGTGGGATTGCTGGGTTGAAGAGTATAAATATGTTAGTTGTATTCCAGAATGGTTAGACCAGTTCTCCACAAGTGGATATATTAGTGTGCCTGTTTTTCCTCTCCAGCATTGGCTTATCTATTTATTTTTATAGTGGATTCCTCTCATGGAAGAAGATTGTAGGAAGCTTTCTGCAGCCTCTAATTTCTGCCTCCCAGAGAAATTCTCTATACAGAGAATCTTTGAAGATATATTTTCAAAAGCAAAGATCAATTACCCTATCCTTCAGGCTGCCATCACTTTGAGAAATAAGGGTAAGAGTCAAATGCTTTAACACTTTCTGTCTGAGGGTCACCATAAATACTTAGAGGCATTTAGTGCAAAATGGAACAAAATGCTTCTTGATATAATCAATCAAAGATTTGAGGAAGCTCCAGAAGCAGGGTATGGACCATACTGACCCTTAACAGTAAATGCAGAAAATAACATTGATATGCCAAAAAATGATGATTTCATCCATGTAGCAACTCCCTCCACTGATGTGTATCAAAACTTGCATATTAGTTCATTGTCCCACAATTTCCCAAAGCTCAGAGAGATTAAATGACTTGGTCACACAGATAATAAGTATCAGTGTCAGAAGTGAGATTTGAACCTCGGTCTTCCTGACTCAATATTCAAGCATTTGATTTACTACACCAACTTCGAATTTCATGTTTGAGATTTCTGCTTGTGAGTTGTGAGACTTGAATTCATTTATTGATATGGGATGAGATAAGATAGAATGCTCTTGCATGTAGATGTATGGAAGCCTGAAACCACTCCACTACCTTTTGGGAGGCAGGCCATGAATATACCATTCCACTTCCTTATTTTCTCACTCAGAACAATACCAAAATCATGGCATTCCTTGTTTTCCTCTTCAAGAACTGACTGGCTTTGTTGGGTACACACATCCAGGAAATAATATACTTATGTCTCAGTTTCCCCAGCTACAAAATGAGAGAAACAATCCTTGAATTCTAGAACAAGGGTTATAGGGAATTTTGATAACTGGTGGTTATGATAGAGTGTAATGTATTTCACTTAAACACATAATGAGGAGATTTAACTCATTTTCATACCTGTGACTTAGGAGGAGACTAGGGGAAAGAATTCTAGATTATCATGAGGCCATTTTCAAACCTAGATTGTAGTTATGAGAACTGAAGATCTGGAAACAGAGTCACAGAAAGGAAATTGTGGTAGAGAAAAGGCTAGATTTGCTGTCTCAATGCATGTCAATTTGGTTCTTTTCTTGTAAATCAGATGGCATCCCTATAGGTGGTTTTGATCTTTTCAAAGAAAAGCAGTGGTGACAATCATTTCCTGTGTGTATTTTTTTTCTCTCTTAGGATATAAAACCTGCATCCTTACCAACAGCTGGTTGGATGATAGCCCCCAGAGGGATACTGTTGCCCAGTTAGGATGTACCCTACGCAAACACTTTGATCTAATGATAGAATCATGCCGAATTGGAATGGCAAAGCCAGACCCAGAGATTTATAAGTTTGCCCTGGAGACATTGAAGGTGGCACCACATGAGGTGAGTTGAAGTTTCCTCATTGCAAGAATATCTTAATTTGAGGGGAAAAGTGAGTAACAACAAGCAATGTAGGAAGCTTAGGGAAACTTAAGGAAGGTTGGGAGAGGAAGGCTGGGAATGGGAATAGAGAGGGAAGGAAGGAGATAGAAGTAGAGTAAGGAAAGGAGAGGAGGGCCTCTCCAGAGGACTTTGCTCCCACCCTGAGTGGCATAGAGTGGGAGAGTCAGAGCAGCTGCATATTAGAATGTCTTAGGGGTTGATTACCAGTTGAAATCAAAGTTGAAAACTGAAGAAAAGTAAGGTAACTGAAAAATATAGTTGACATATTTCTTACCTTCTCAATGGGTATGGGAGGGGCTTGAGGGAGAGAGTATTTGGAACTCAAGATTTTTTAAAAATGCTAAAAATAGGGGCAGCTAGGTGGCTCAGTGGATAGAGCACCAGCCTTGGATTCAGGAGGACCTGAGTTCAAATCCAGCCTCAGACACATAACACTTACTAGCTATGTGACCCTAGGCAAGTCACTTAACCCCATTGCCTAACCAAAAAAAATATGCTAAAGATAATACATTGAATTTTTTTTTCAAATTTTGCATTATCCTCTTTAAAAAAGAAAAGAAAAATGGAGTTGAACTCACATCAGATTGGCCAAGACAGCAAAAAATGAAAAATGGCCATTGTTGGAGGGGCTGTGGAACAACAGGCTGTAAAGATTTTTTTTTCTTCTTGTTAACCATTTCCCTTTTAATGTCAGCCACATTGGATTTGCTTGTGCAAAATTTTCTTTTTATGTGATTAAAATTTTCTACTTCACCTTTTATAATCTTCTCTTTCCCTTGTTCAGTTATGAACTGTTACCCTTTCCATAGATCTGAAAGATAATGTCTTCTTTACTCCTTCAAATTGTTGTAATGTCACCCTTTATGTCTGAGGCAAGTACCTGTTTGGAGATTGCCTTGGCATGTGGTATAGGGTATTCGTTCTGATGCGGGGTTTTTTGGTGGCCCCTCCTTTACCACGCTATAGGCTTCTGGCTTATCTTTTTGTGCATTTCTCAGGGTGGACAAAGTTACTTACTGTAGTTTCTCATTAGATTTCTTGATCATTATTAACTCTGTTGCTATTTTTAGGTTGTTACCAAAGTAGATGTGTATGGGAGTTAGGCTGCTGCTTCTGTTCAAACAGCCATCTTAAACAGAAGCCAATTCTGATTGGTTTTCAAGCAGCATAGTTGAGTGAGAAGAAGCCAGGGAGAGAGGCATTGGGGTGCATTTATTAGAGTGCCAGCCTCGGAGTCAGGAAGACCTGAACTCGAGTCCTAAATCTGACATATTTTAGCTGTGTTATCATGGGCAAGTGACTTAACCTCTAAATGTTCCAGGAGGAGGTGGCAGATATGCTTGGGTAGAGGGATTGACTCTAGGCCTGGCACTCTATCCACTGTGTCACTGTGCCCAGAGTATAATGATAGGAGTTACTAAGTTATAAACAGGATGACGACTGCATTCATGGAGGGCATCCCTATAAGTGGAAGCATCCCATGATAATGATGTCACAGCTCATTCTTGTCTTTACTTCTGAATCGTATTTTGTCCTGGAAGAAATACTGGAGGGAAGGCCTCGGGTAGTGAGGTGTGTTGAGAAGATTGACGCATTTGGAGTTGGAGGACTTCGCTTTTCATCCCAGCTCACACTGTCTGTGTGGCCTTGGGCAAATCACTTTAGTTATTTTCCCTTTCTGGACCTTGGTTTCCTGTTTTGTAAAGAGAGAGATGAATTAGATGACTTTGGAGGGCCCTTCCAGGTTGGAATCTATGATCTTAAGATGATTATACTCTTGGAAAACAATTTCTAGTATAAGCTGAGAGCTTTTTAAACTTTCAAGTTCTTTGTCAGAAGCAAGTATGTATTTGATCCTGTGTTCGAGCTGTACTTAAGAGAATGGCTTTCATGGTTAGTTGGGAAAAGACAAATACAGAAGTTGACATGGCTGACATAGAGATGCCAGGGTTACCGTAAGATCTCTCTTCTGCTGCTGTTGGCAGGGAGTAGGAATGGTAATGGAAGGGAAGAAAAGGAAGGGGAGGGAGATGGGAAACATGGGGATAATTTCTGAGGGAGACTCTGGACATGTTGGGAACTAAATGACATCATATCTGTATATCCATATCTATAGCCATATTTATGTCTATGCATTAGTGTGTATATGCATGTATTATGTATACGTATATATACATGTACACAGATACAGTATTTTATGGTATGTGTGTATCTTGTGCATATACATGTATATATGTACATGTGAATACCTGCACATACATATACATGCAGAGACAATATTTTATGGTGTGTATGCTTGTGTAAATTTGTATATGTATATGTGTATGTATACATGCATGTACACACAGAGATAACATTTTAATTAACAGACAAGACTTGTTATTGATATGGAAGTTATGTTCCAGTTTTCTGTGTACAACAAGACCATTGACTCCACAGAGTTAAGATCAGAATTAGTAAAAATCAAGAAAGAATAACAGTGAGAAAAAGCAATGACATATAATTAAAACTCCAATCTTGAACTATTTAAAGAAATGTAATGGGATTTAGGGGTTAACATTTTGACATGTTATCTACATGGGGTAGATTTTCAGCCTGCTATTGGACATGTTACCCTATTTATTTTCATCATCCCAAATTCTAAGAAAATCTAGATTTTTGTTTGAATATGTTCTTATTAACTATGAAAATTGAAAGGGGCAGCTAGGTGGCGCATCAGGGGCAGTTAGGTGGCTCAGTGGATAGAGCACCAGCCCTGGATTCAGGAGGACCTGAGTTCAAATCTGACCTCAGACACATAACACTTACTAGCTGTGTGACCTTGGGCAAGTCACTTAACCCCATTGCCTAGCCAAAAAAAAAGAAAAAAGAAATAAAATCGAAACACCTTTCTTACTCATTAAACAGTTATCAGAACCATCACCCCAGGTTATTAAATATCATTTACTTAAACTTACAAAGATTTTTTTCCCATAGGCAGTTGTTCATCTCTCATTATTTATCTTTTAAGCTCGAATAGCATGCCTGTACAATTACTGAATAAACAAACTAAGAATATAATGCATACGAACACGAAGACATAAAATAATTACTTACAGTGTTTTAGTTGTGAGAAAAATCATAGCTAGCATCACTTTTAACATCCCTGCTACTTTTGACTTTTACTTTCTTTTGGAATAAAGTCCTACCATTCAGCTGTGAGGAAAGCAGCCAGAGTCTCTTGTACTGGCCGCGCGCCGACCTTCTGCCGGCCGCACGCCGTACCCTCTCCTCCTATAAGGAGCAGGCTACCAGAGTCATACTCACTTCCGAGTCTTCAGTCCTCAACCGGATAAACACACAGAGACGAGCCATCGGGAGGCGCCAACACCAGAGCTTTATTCAGAGGCCATCACAGCAAGCCCAAGCAGCAAGGCCAGAGCAACAGGGCAGGAGCCAGGAGAGAGAGTGTGATCTTTCCACGCTTGTTCCTAAATACCTACCTAGCCCCTCCTCCCCAGCCCGCTTACTAGCCAATGATTGTAGGGTCAGATACCGGAAGGGGCTGTCTGAGTTTAGAACACCAAGGGGGAGGGAGTGACGTAGGAGGCTAGGACCGGATACAGGGAGGAGGCATCTGGGATTAGCACATAGACAGAGTACGTGAGCTAGGAAGTCAGACTCAGATACTGGGAGGAGGGGACTAGGGTCAGTGCTGCACAAAGGGACCCAGGAAGTCAGGAAGGTCACAAGAGGCGTCTGGGGATGACATTGCATACAGGGAGGGGACTAAGCAAAGGGAACTCAGTCCTCTGCCGTCCCACTCCCACGTGGCACTGCCCCTTGCCTCAGGAGCTCAAGCTCCAGCTACTTCCTTGTACCCAGCTTATCTCACATAGCACTGCCCACTGCCTCAGGGCTTCTCCATATCCAGCCCATCCCAGTTCACCACGACTCTGCCTACCACAGCCCCTGCCTCGACTTCCAAAATACCCAGATCTTACCCTACTCTTGCCACAGCACCCAACCTGGTAGCTGCCAACATCAGACAGTCCCTCACAGTCTCTCAAAAATCCTTTTTTTCTTTATTCACAATATAAAGGTTAAACACATTCTTTCAAGTACTCTTTTTTCTCTCAAACATCTGGTCATGATATAATCTGTGACTGATAGTTAATCTTTTCTCCCCTTCACAGATAACATTTAAGACTCATTTTCTTTATTGCTGACAGGGAAGGCTCTCCATTCCTCAAAATCACATCAGGGAATGACAGTTAAGCTGTGACTGTCCAAAGCTCCATAACATCTTTTAAAAAATTAATAAATAAACTTATTATTTATTTTTAACATTTAAAAAAATTTGAGTCCCAAAGTTTCTTCCCCGTTAAAGTTCCTTCCCCACCCATTGAGAAAGTCAGCAATATCATATCAATTATACATGTCACGTCCTGTAAAACATATTCCCATATTAGCCATGTTGTTAAAAAAAGGAGGGGCAGCTAGGTGGCGCAGTGGATAGAGCACCAGCCCTGAAGTCAGGAGGAACTGAGTTCAAATCTGGCCTCAGACCAAACACTTGACACTTACTAGCTGTGTGACCATGGGCAAGTCACTTAACCCCAATTACCTAAAAAAAAAAAAAAAGAAGGAAAGTGAAAAAATTATACTTCAATCTGCATTTGGAGTTCAGCATTCAGAGTTCATTAGTTCTCTCCCTGGAGGTGGGTAGCATTTTTTATCATGAGTCCTTCAGATTTGTCTTGGATCACAGTATTGATCAGAGTAGCTGTCTTTCACAATTGATCATCATTACAATATTGCTTTTACTGTGTACAATGTTCTCTTGGTTCTTCTTACTTCACTTTATATCAGTTCATATAAGTCTTCCCAGGTTTTTCTGAAACCATCCAGCTTGTCATTTCTTACAGCACAAAACTTGTTCAGCCATTCCCCAATCGATG